GTAGAGACGGGGTTTCACCATGTTAGCCAGGATGGTCTCGATCTCCTGACCTTGTGATCCGCCCACCTCGACCTCCCAAAGTGCTGGGATTACAGATGTAAGCCACCACTCCCAGCCTAAATAAAGTGTGTTTAAACATAAACATACATAAAGCAAGGTTATGTGTTGATTAGTTGACAATTATGTGACCAAAGGCTTGCAGGAACTTAACCCTACATTTCCCCTGGAAGCTATCGCTCCGCATTTATTCAGTGTTTAAGATGATTTTATAGAATATAGCTACTGCACGTAAAATGAATCGACTGTGGAGAAATTTATCCAATCATCATAGCTTGGTGAGTGCTCCTGTAGAGGTGTGAGTGCTATTCTACGGAAGCACACAAGAAAGAACAGTTGACTTGGTCTTGGAGAGTTGAAGGAGTCATTATAGAGGGGTTGCTTTTGAATCGGGTTTCAAAATAATGAGTAGAAACTCAAAGAATGGACCAGGTTGAAAGGTCATTCAAGACAGTGGCGAATTATGTGCGAAGGAAGGAAGGTCTGAAAGAGCTTGACACGTTCAGTGATTAAAAAGCAAGTGAAGTCAGAGCTCTTAAGTCGTGTGCTCCAACTCAGCCACAGGCAAGGATTTCCAGCCATTACAAAGTTTCTCTACACAGTTTGGGCTGTGATTTTTGCAGTAAGGAAGTGTGCAGCATGTCAGCTGTGAAAATTGGCTCAATGTTCATAATCAAGTCTATTATGCTCCCTCTGAAGCCTAGTCCATGTTTCCGTAGAAACCCCTAGTTACATAAAGGGACCCCGGCCAGCAATTGGCAAGAAAACCCACCACCTTTGTAAGCCATTATAGTAATGCCAGGGGGAAAACATCTGTCTCTTATACACATCTAGATGTGTATAAGAGACAGGTTGTTATCCCCAGTGTTGGAGGTGAGGCCTGGTGAGAGGTGATTAGTTCATGAGGGCAGGGCTCTATGAATGGTTTAGCACCATTCCCTCTGTGCTGTTCCCAT